CCCCTCCCCCGTTCTCACCGAGCCTTCGACGGTGGCGTCCTCCTCCTCCTCCTCTTCCTCCCTGCGCCGTCCTTCTGGTCTTTCTGGTCCCTGGGACGCCTCTGCGCATGCGCCAGCCTCTCCTCGGCTGAGGGCCCCTCCCCGGCGCATGCGCAGCGCCTCTGTTTGTGTCTCGCAGGTGTCCAGCCCGCGCATGCGCCCGACGGCCTCCCTCCCTTTCGGCTCGCTCACGCGGACGGCCCGCCGGCGCCCTCGTGCGCCACGTGACGGGGCGGGGCCTCCCCAGCTCGGCCTCGGCGACGAGGAAGACAACAACAAGAGACGTCACAAGCCCCGCCCCTCGCCTGGGGCGTCGTCAAGGAGACGGCGGGGCGGAGGAGCGAGGGTGAAGTGCCACCCTCCGTCCGCTTGGTGGCTCCGCCCAGGAAGGCGCCGCCGTGACGTCTGAAGCCTGCGGCGAGCGGAAGCACCTCTTGAGTATCGAGGGCGCGGATTGGCCGGCCCGCAAGGGAAGCCAGGCAAGCGGTGGGAAAGGGCCTGCGCCTGCCAGGGAGACCCACAGCCCCAGGTGAGTGGCCGAGGGAGGCAGGGAGGAGGACGGGAGCCCCGCAGGAGAGTCCCAGGCAGGCGGGGAGCAGGCCCAAAGCCTCTCTTCCCTGGGCATCCCGGGCAGGAGACTCAGCTGCCTGCGAGTGGGCCTGTGGGCCTTCTGCTGCCATTCTGTGCCATGCACGGGTGGCCCAACCCCTGGCGCAAAGTGAGCCTTGGCAGGAGAGTTGGTATTGCCAGGGGGAAATAGACCTTGACATTTGGGAGTTGTAGTTACTGGGATGTAGAGTTCACCTTCCATCAAAGAGCATTCTGAACTCCACCAAGGATGGAATTCAACCAAATAGGGCACACAGAACTCCCACGACGAACAGAAAATATATATCAGTGATTGGTAGGGGAGGGGTATGTGTGACAAAATACTGTTTGCTTACTGTTGAAAATGACCTAGGGCCACCTCTGATCATATCTATCTATGATGACACCAAATTGGGAGGGAGAGCCAAGACTCCAGAGGACAGGAGCAGGATTCAAAATGATCTTGACAGATTAGAGAGATGATGGGCCAGTGTTTCTCAACCTTCCTAATGCCGCGACCCATAGGAGCATTTTGTATAGATCTAGGGAAGTCATGCTACCCATACTCTATTCCGCTTGGTTAGACCACACCTGGAATATTGTGTCCAATTCTGGGCACCACAATTCAAGAGAGATATTGACAAGCTGGAATGTGTCCAGAGGAGGGCGACTAAAATGATCAAGGGTCTGGAGAACAAGCCCTATGAGGAGCGGCTTAAGGAGCTGGGCATGTTTAGCCTGAAGAAGAGAAGGCTGAGAGGAGATATGATGAAGGCCATGTATAAATATGAGAAGGGACTATGTCATACAGAGGGTGACTAAATGATCAAGGGTCTGAGAACAAGCCCTATGAGGAGCGGCTTAAGGAGCTGGGCATGTTTAGCCTGAAGAAGAGAAGGCTGAGAGGAGACATGATAGCCATGTATAAATATGTGAGAGGAAGCCACAGGGAGGAGGAGGGAGCAAGCTTCCTTACTGCTTCCCTGGAGACTAGGACACAATGGAACAATGGCTTCAAACTACAAGAGAGGAGATTCCATCTGAACATGAGGAAGAACTTCCTGACTGTGAGAGCCGTTCAGCAGTGGAACTCTCTGCCCCGGAGGTGTGGTGGAGGCTCCTTCTTTGGAAGCTTTTAAGCAGAGGCTGGATGGCCATCTGTCAGGGGTGATTTGAATGCAATATTCCTGCTTCTTGGCACAATGGGGTTGGACTGGATGATGGCCCAGGAGGTCTCTTCCAACTCTTGGATTCTATGATTCTATGAGATTAGCCAGGCAGGTGGGGAGCAGGCCCAGAGGCCCTCTTCCCTGGGCATCCCGGGCAGGAGACTCAGCTGCCTGCGAGTGGGCCTGTAACCTGGAGGCCAGGCCGGCATGTGGGTGGGTGCGTGTTGGGGGCATATTCAGGGGCGGCTCAACCCATTATACAAAGTAAGCACTCATTTGCAGTATAGTTGATTTTGCCCAGGGGCGCTCTTGAGGAGCTCTTGGGGGGAAATAGACCTTGACATATGCGAGTTGTAGTTACTGGGATGTATAGTTCACCTACAATCAAAGAGCATTCTGAACTCCACCAATGATGGAATTGAACCAAATATGGCACACAGAACTCCCACGACGAACAGAAAACATATATCAGTAATTCATAGAATCCTAGAATCCAAGAGTTGGAACAGACCTCCTGGGCCATCATCCAGTCCAACCCCATTCTGCCAAGAAGCAGGAATATTGCATTCAAAGCAACCCTGACAGATGGCCATCCAGCCTCTGTTTAAAAGCTTCCAAAGAAGGAGCCTCCACCACACTCCGGGGCAGAGAGTTCCACTGCTGAACGGCTCTCACAGTCAGGAAGTTCTTCCTCATGTTCAGATGGAATCTCCTCTCTTGTAGTTTGAAGCCATTGCTCCCTTGCGTCCTAGTCTCCAAGCAGAAAACAAGCTTGCTCCCTCCTCCCTGTGGCTTCCTCTCACATATTTATACATGGCTATCATATCTCCTCTCAGCCTTCTCTTCTTCAGGCTAAACATGCCCAGCTCCTTAAGCCGCTCCTCATAGGGCTTGTTCTCCAGACCCTTGATCATTTAGTCGCCCTCCTCTGGACACATTCCAGCTTGTCAATATCTCTCTTCAATTGTGGTGCCCAGAATTGGACACAATATTCCAGGTGTGGTCTAACCAAGGCGGAATAGAGCATGACTTCCCTGGACCTAGGCACTATGCTCCTAATTGGTTGGGGTGGGGGGGGGGGAGGATACTGTTTGCTTACCATTGAAAATTACCTAGGGCTGCCTCTGGCCTATTGGGTGGGTGGTGTTGGGGGCATATTGAGAGCATGATGGGGAGTAATAAGTCAGTGGAGAGCCAAGGCGGGGCTGGGGTGAGCCTGGGGTGTGTGTGCGTGTTGGGGGCATATTGAGAGCATAATGGGGTGGTCCTAAGTCAGGGGGAGAGCCAAGGTGGGCCTGGGGTGGGGGCAGGCAGCCCTTTCTCACCCGCTCTTCCCCCTCCCTCCCCAGGCACCATGGCGGAGGACCTGTCCCAGTCGCTCTTCCTGCAGCACCAGTACATGTGCTCCGAGTGCGGGCTGCTCTACGACACGCTGGAAGCAGTGCTGATCCACCACCAGAGCCACCTCCCGGAGACCCCTACTCCTCCTGCGGAAGAAGGAGCCATGGCCCCGACTCAGGAGAGCAGCAGGTTCCAGTGCCTGGAGTGCGGCTGTGCCCTGGGCTCCCCGGACGAGCTCCTGGCCCACCAGGAAGTGCACCCCAGGGAGGTCCCCTCCCGGCCCCCGCCTGCCCCGGGGCAGATCCGCTACCAGTGCAACGAGTGCCAGGAGCTCTTCCCCTCCACCGCCCTCTGGCTGGCCCACCGCCGGGCCCACCGCCAGAAAGAGCCGATCACAACGGCCTGCCCCTCACCTCCCCCTCCCTGCCCGCCCTCCCTTCCGCCCGCCCCGCCGGTGCACCCCTACGAATGCTCCGAGTGTGCCGGCCTCTTCCTGACCCCCGAGGAGCTGCTGGAGCACCAGGGAGAGCATTTCACGGAGATCGAGAAGGAGAGCGCAGAGCCCTCTGAAGGTGCGGTGGCGGCAGCGGCGGTGCAAGAAGCGGCCAGCCCTCAAACATCTCCATTGCGGGCCCCCGAAGAAGACGCCCCCCTGCCCTTGTCGCCCTCTGTGAAGGTTCTCAGCTGCGGCGAATGCAAGCAGGCCTTTGCCTCAGCGGAGGCCCTGGAGCAGCACCGGCTGGAGCAGCATGCGCGGACCCAGCCGGAAGAGTTCCTCTGTGGGGAGTGCCAGCGCGGCTTCACCACGGCCAAGCGGCTGTTGGCGCACCAGCGGGCGCACATGGACGGCACCTACGAGTGCCCCAACTGCAACAAGATCTTCAAGAAGGCGGCCTCCCTGGAGCAGCACATGCGGGTGCACAAGGGGGAGGCGCTCTACCTCTGCGTGGACTGCGGCCTGGGCTTCTCCACCGAGATGACGCTCGTCACGCACCGCAAGAACCACACCGCCAATCCCCTGCACCGCTGCCACTGCGGCAAGGCCTTCAGCAACATGACCAAGTTCCTGTACCACCGGCGCACACACGCGGGCAAGAGCGGGGTGCCCCCCACCCGAGGGAACGTGAAGCCGGGGCTCGGCAAGCAGCCCCTGGAGCAGTCCCAAGCGATGGGGAGCCGGTGATCAACGGTGGCAGCAGCGGTGGCGGAGGGGCCTCCCCCAAGCCCCCCTCCTCCACTTCCTCCCCAAAGAAGGGGCCGGGAGCAGAGGCCAGCGGGGCGGGCTTCCTGTGCCCGCAGTGTGGCAAGGGCTTCTCCACCTACCTCCGGATGGTGCGCCACAAGCGGGTGGTGCACGTCCTGGAGCGCAAGCACAAGTGCCCCATGTGCAGCAAGAAGTTCAAGAAGCTGGTGCACGTGCGGAACCACCTGCGCACCCACACCGGGGAGCGGCCCTTCCAGTGCTCCGAGTGCGGAAAGACCTTCGTCTCGCAGGCCAACCTGGCGCGGCACCACATCACCCACACTGGGGAGCGCCCCTACCAGTGCCAGGTGTGCGGCAAGCGCTTCACCCAGTCCTCCAACCTCCGCCAGCACCGCCTCCTGCACCTTGTGCCCGCCCGCCAGGGCCCCCACACCTGCCAGGACTGCGGGGCCACCTTTGCCCGCCCCTACCAGCTGGCCCTGCACCAGGCGGCCCACATGGGCAGCCTGCCCTTCCCCTGCCCCGAGTGCGAGAAGACTTTTCCCCGGCGCTG